CACAAGAGCTTCACAATGGTTCTATGCAGAATAGTCTCTGAGGTTCCAGTGTTACACAGTGGTATCACAATGGACCTGCCAGGTCTAAGTGAGTTGGTCATCACACATCAGCCTGACCTAACCTTGAGCCTATTGTATCACTTGATCGTTTGTGATTCTAAATATGTATATACGTGTGTAAAGAATGGACAAAGAATGTTAAATGCTGTTTTTTAATAAAATTAAAAAAAATTATAAAAATGTGTATACAATTTTACTCAAAAGTCTTATGTATAAGAAAATTTTAAGTTATGTACTTTTCATAAAACTAGGACTATAAAATCGAAAATATATCCTATAGCTCCATTAGTATGCTTTTTGTAATAGAAATCTCTTCAGCATAGGGGGCATATTTTTTTCCTCCGAACACTTTTTCTGAATTGAAGGCGGTATAATCTGAAACTTTGTAAAAATTAACGATTTTTTTCTAATTTTCTGCATGTTTTTTACTATAGTGACCAAACCACTTGTGTGATTTATGACTATGAAGGCAAACAACTTTTTTTGGAGTCTCCTTTACAAATCACTCCCAGATATAAACCGAAATGATGGCAAATACAACTTTTCGATGAAAATATGTGATGTAATGTGTTGCAACTATGGGTTTTTCTATATTTTCACTGATATCTCAGAAACTAGGTCTTACCCAGAGAAACCATTGTGATATTCGGAATCGGGATATAATTCTACGTTAGAAAAGTTTTGTTTCATTCTTGGTGATTAAAGTTGATCAAAAATTTTTGAGTAGTGTAATTAACATTTGTTTTCTTTAATTTATTTCTTTCGTTAAAGAATAGCAGTTTTTAAGGCCTTCCATATAAAAAAATAGCAAATCATTTGTGAAGAAAAATAGCATTACTTTTTGTAATAAAAAGTTACATTTCGTTCTTTGCCCTAATGTGCAGCAATTACTAATATGCGCAATTACTCCGCGCTCACCAGCTCAATTTCAAAGCTAATTGGCCGAAATTTGGTGTAAGCTCAAGTAAAATGCAGATCGTTCTTTTCGCCGATCTCTACTCGGAGGTTCTGCGAATCAGTTAATAAAAGCTTTACCGTCATCCATGCTGGGCAAGGTTTCAGCCGAAAAATGCTTCAAAAGCAAAATGATCCAAATTACTCAATTGGGGATTGTACAGAAATTCCTTGCTGCGTTGGCATCATTAGGCCATCCCAACGTCGCCTTAGTTGCGTTCCAGCAGCGGTACGAATAGCAGGTTTTGCAGGATTTTACAGGATTTACAGGAACAGCTGTTTTCGCCATTAATAAACCTTATGTAAGGTGTCGTGCGGGAACAGCTTCCTGTAAAATCCTGTAAATTCCTGCAAATCGTACTGCTGCTGGAACGCAGCTATTTCTGTGTTCGTACTTCGAACATAACAATATCGAAATAAATGAAGTAGCTGATTAGATGATCAGCAGGACCGAAAAGTTTAGGCTTTTGCTTGCAGGGTTTCCAGGGTGCTTATTCAAGCTTAATTTTAACGATCATGCTTATTTTGGTTATTTCAATGCATAAAGCTAAGTACGGTTTTTTTAAGAAAACGGTCAAGAAATAAATTGCTATTAAGTATTTCGTGTGTGTGAGTAGTAGTGTCCAAGGAGTTTTGACATCTGATATTTTACAGCCTGCTGTCTCACTTTTCCTTCCGAAATAATGGAATGGGCATATATTTCTGTCGAAAACAAGGGTACTTTGTACTCTTCACAAACAAACTTTAGCAAACCATAGTAGAAAGCATAGCAAATTTATTAAGAACTTCGTACTGCTTAAGAAAATTTGACTCAATAAATTTTTCCTGACCATTTCTTTGGCGTTTTTTTATTCGTCGAAATGTTTACAAATAATAACATAAAAACAGATTTGGTTTTTATTAACCCGAAACCTCAATTGCATTTCTGCTTGGGTACAAAAATTTTAAACCAATGGTTTGTCTCCACGGGAAGGCATTGGTGTTATTGAAAAGATTAAAAACAATTTATCTCAAATGAAGAATAACGAATATAAAAAAAAAATTAAAACGACCAGCGCGGATCTTTATTTTATGAGAATATCAAGCAACACTTGATTGTACATTGTAATTTTTCAATCCTTGAAATAAACTGAATAAAAACATTAAACTGTACGCTCAATTTTGTTGTTTTACAAGCATATTTGCAGCATATTTACCAATGTTTTAGTGCTTATCAAAGCGCTTAATTGTTTTTTTTCTTGCTTATTTTCTTCGGCCCTGATGATCAGGTATTTATATCTATATCTCTGAGAAGTTAACAAACGGGGTAAACAACTCAGTACAACCACTTTTCGGGGAACATAGCCAGAAAATTTACGAATACACCATAGCCCTCAATAGTGACTTACGGGCAAAAATAAAAGATTGTGAGGTGTAATGGCCAATATGGCCGCGGTACAACTGGAAAAACTGAACATATCTTGAAACTCAACAGTTCTGCAGAAATAGTTTTCACCTGTGGCATCACCGGGCACTTGCTTTTGCACCGATGCTCAAGCGATGGCAACAAAAAAGTTCCTCTACACAAGGTACTGTGATGAGACCCAGGAGGAATCAATTGACTACATTTTGTATTGATGCCCGGGCTTGCAGTCGAAGCAGTTCAGACCTCCTCAACATCACTTGTGGGGAAGTGGTTAACACAGTAAATGTGTGCATTAATCTGTATTTTCTTTTTGATTATGAAGCCCTGGTTAAAGGGAAAAACGTTCCGCCGGCAATCATTCATGGGGGACTCTAACAAAAGGAAACTATATTCTTGAGTGAAAGTATAAAGCTGTCCATATCACGCAACGGTTCAATTCGGAGATACTCCAATTGCTATATGCATATTGGACAATGGTTAAAGGGAAAAACGTCCCGCCGGCAATCATTCATGGGGGACTCTAACAAAAGGAAACTATATTCTTGAGTGAAAGTATAAAGCTGTCCATATCACGCAACGGTACAATTCGGAGATACTCCAGTTGCTATATGCATATTGGACAATGGTCAATTTGCGAAAAAGAAGCAAAACATCATCGCAAAAAATCGCACAATAAGGAACTTTTTGTTGGGTTTTGATATTATAGTAAGTTATACGAAATGCACGCCAAAGGACACTAACAGCAGTTGCTTAACAGTGTATTGTCTTTTTAATTGAATTTACAATTTGACAACTACTTAATACATATTCTCAATTGTCTTCTCCAATGTAAACGTAAGGTAAGTGAAAAAACGCTTTGCAAAATACATGTGTACATATTTAAGTATATTAAGTATTATTTCCCGATAGTTACTTGTATTTTTCTCTTGAAGACTTCAACTTAACAATAAACTTTAAAGATGTGTATCTCAAAATAGGTACATAAATAAATGTAAATAATATCACGCTTACATTTATAATTATAATAAGTAATCCTAACAATAAGCGCTATAAATATGTCACTTACAATACATACATACATATGTATGTTTTCATCCATGTACAAATAACATCACAATTGTCCCACATGTGAAGTGAGATAAAAGGTTTTAATTTTATATTTAATGAAAAAAGTTTTCTTTTCACTTTTTTCACATATGTATGTGTGATATAATATTAGGGGTACTCACGAAAGCTCGCAAATGGCCTTTAAATCTCATAAAAATCGCGAATTTGTGCCTTGTAAACTTCCGGCGATGATCATTAAAAAATTAAGACCTCGCAAATTGGTCAAGAAATTTTAGTGAACAAACCAGTGTTGCCACTTTATCACAATAGTGGTAGATCTATCATATTTTGGATAGTTTTTTAGCTCTACACTGAGGGAAATAATGCATAGTAAAAATGAATACTTTATATTTGATTATCTTTTAAAAACGTTCGTATTTAAAAATAATATTTTCATACAAAATTTATTACGCGCGTATTTGACTGTTCACATCTGAGTATATATATGACTGTACATACGCACCCCAAGCATGCAGAGCGCCGCTCTGAGAGCGGTGAAAACACATACATTCATACAAAGTACATGTTTAGCCGTAGAAATCGCGTGCTGTGCTGTTGATGGATATTCAACATTTGAAAGCAAATTTATATGCCTGGGTGTAGCTGAGTGCGCAAAGATGCATGCCACAATTTGTTGATATCCGGAGATGGTCAGGGTTCGAATTCCTCTGCAGGCTACATGCAAGTTAAATATTTTTTTTTTAGTTTTTGTCTTGATTATTAACTTCACGGATGCTTTTTCAGAACGAACGCGGTCATTTTAATATGCGCGTAATTGAATTGAATATTTACCAATATACAGTACTTTCGTTGACGTTTATAGTAAGATCAATTCCGTTTCTATTTGATTTTAATATTTTTTTCCTTCAGTGTAAATACCACAACTACCACAAATTTTAAACAACTACCACAATTTTACGGAGATAAAATTATTAACCTAATTTTCCAAAATGTTGTTGTCATAAATTAGCTGTTCTCCTCAATATGAATTTAAGAGTAATGAAAAATATTGTGGATATTGTGTTAGTTGAAGAGCCGTAGCTACTGCCAAGCTTTTCAAAGTGTCTATTGCGTGCATGAACATCGCCTGAGAAATCGAAAGTATACAAATGTGTTTAATATTTACATATATTCTACCACAATTTGTTAGAGATCTACCACAGTTTTTATTAATAAACTACCACTAATTTTGTTTCTAAAGTGACAACACGGGAGCTTACTTCGTTTATGACTTTATTGACAACTTTTCAGACAGTTGAGTGCGCATGAATAAAAGAATAAAATTTTTCAAAATACGCAATTGCCAACATTCATGGATCCCAGTATTCCTTATTTAAATATCTTATAGCAATTTATAGAAAATAAAGAAATATATATAATTAATATTTAAATAATCAAATGATTTGTAGTACTTTATATGAAATATTGAGTATATTTATGTACTTAGAACATAATTGACACATGTTTTGCTTACCTTTAGTCCTTTGGCGCGGTTAATGGCACGCAGAGGCCTTAGAACGCGAAGTACTCGTAATATTTTCACGAATGAAATCGCATTCGAACTAAAATAAATAGAAAAAAGAAAGATCTGTAAATAAAAAAGATCCATATATGATGGTTGCGAGGTAGATAAGCAAGGTAAGCTCTGTACCTGCCTTATTGTGTATGGTATTTGTTATCTTTAATTATGTGAAACTAATATTATGGCAATTATATTAACCCCTACTTCTTGATTAAAATTTATTTATTATTTTATCGAACAACATCTAAACGAATGATAATGTTTCCTAAAAAATTAAAATGAAAAACTAAATTTTTTGTTGAGATTTTATAATACACTATGTAACAAAATTGAAAAAAGTCAAAAAACTTGGAATGCCATATAGTACATGCTGTGTGAATAAAAATACGCTCATAAAGGTACTATGTAGCTTACCGGATTTCGGAATAAAGCAGGGGCGGCCCCACAGCAATTCTTGGGGGCGAAAATTTCAACATATATCGTGTATATAAATTTAAAAATCACCGCAATTTAAAATTTTTAGTTTTGATAGATTTGAATTTCTTGAAGTTTCTAACTTTCAAAACTTTGTGAATTTGAGAAATTTTAGTAAATCACAATAATTCAATATAATGATGAATACTAGATTTTGAGAATTGTAGGAATTCTAACAAATTTTTTTTAAGCAAAAGTGTCGAATATACAAAATTGATCAAACGAAATTAAAAGTTTTCGAATATTGAAAATATTTTCATATTTTGTCGTTTCTGAAAGTTTAAAAAATTTTCGTAATTCTTGAAGATTCAAAAAATTTTTGGACGTTGATGTTTTCAAAATTTTCAAAAAATTTAAAATTCTCAAACTTTGTTATATCAATACAAAATTTTGGAAAAGTTCCGAAAAGTGGAAAAATTTTGGAATTTTTCAAAAATGTTAATATCTTTTAGAATTCTAAGAATTTTCTATTTTTTACACACAAGTACCATGAATTTTTCGACAATTTGTGATGTTTCACATTTTTACATTTTAGGATGGATTTTAGGATAAATAAAATTTTCAAAATTTTGGAAAATATAAAAATTTCTAAAATCTCAATAATTTTGTACATTTCAAAATATTCTCATTTTACCAAAATTTCTAGCATCTCCCGGATTTAGATAGTTTTTGAAATTACCCCAAAAATAAGAAATCTCAAGAAATTTAATAATATTAATTTTTGTTGTTTTCTGAACATGTGAAAATATTCAAACTTGCTGCGACTTTCAACGGTGTCAAATAATACAAATTCGAAAATATAACAAGAAAAGTAAAAATTGAAAATTAAGTACATAATTTTAAAATAATGAAAATTCAGTGAATTGGAAAAACTGATAGGCCTACTTAAATAAAATAATACTTCGAGCTTAGCACACAGCTAAAATTTCAAAATCAAGTGAAATTTGACACACTTTTTCCATGAATTAAAATTTTCAAAAGCATCCATTCATTAGGTTTGCTCCCCAAGCTTCTCGAAGTCACTTCGAGTTACTATATACGCGCTCCGCAAGTAAGTTTTCGAGTTTCTTTGATATACGCTCACAGTTTGAACTTTGCTCGAGTTTTTCTACAAGTAGCTTGTGGGACAAACCTATTATATATTCTTGTAATGATATTTCACGATATTCAGTTGAATATTAAGAAAATACATGTTACACAGTCTTGGGGGGGAGGAAATTTCCCCAATTTCCCCTACCTGGGTCCGCCACTGAATAAAGAGATGGCGTACTTACCTTAATTATTCAAAAATTATAATAATTTTTACAGATTTCTTTCGATTCGATCTCAATTCGAAAGGGTTTTCGATACGAAACCGTCAATAGCTGCAAATAAACTATGAAACTACATTTAAATTAGATTGTAATATGATACTCCACTAATATATATATGTTTCACATTCAATTTAAAAATCAATATTAAAATTGATCATTTTAAAGAATATATATTAAGAAGAGCAAAAAAAATGTATCGTCGCATGTTTCTCTTATCAGAGACCAGCAATAGTCCGCTGGCATGCTCAATTTCTAACCCTCAAATCTTTTCTCTACCGCATCCATTTCCTGATACATCCTCTCACCTTTTTCGTCACTTAACTGACCCAATTCTCAGGAAAATAACTTAAATGTGATTGTAGAAAATGAATGTTGATTGACATATTACACCCCATTTCAGAATATCCATTAAGAAACTCGTCAACGACGTTGTCGTAATTTGCACTTCTTTTATTGCCAAGTAAATTTTTGGTTAGGCAAATGAAGCTGTCCCATGCTTTTTTTTCAACTGGCCTTAATTTAGATGCAAAATGTTCATCTTTCATTACCTTGCGATATTGTGGTCCAACAAATATCGCTAAGGTTGAAGATTTACTATATATAGTATCCTCGTTTGATAGAATATGATAAATACCTTCTTTAATTTTTTCTTCGCTAAGCCTAGGAAATATACCTCGAAGGTATTGAAAAGCGTGGCTGTCAGTATTGAGTTTTTTGACAAATTGTTTCATGTAACCAAGCTTGAGATGGACAATATAATTTTTTCTGGTGGTATCAGTGGTATCATGAGTGCATTTGTTCCTCCTATCCACCTTACATTCCCATTAAAATTGATAATACCTTTAAATCACTGACCACTTGCCATTTATGTGTCCCATACCCAATGTTTCTAAGTATTTCTTCCTTGCAGCGTAGTTAGGGATGAAACGATACCATGCAGGTTTCGATACCTATACAATACGCGAAGGAAGAGCAAATAAACACAATCGCTTCCGAGTACAGCTCAACATAGACTGCCTTTACTGCCTGTACTTCTTACTCTTTACATCATTATTAATATATGTATCTTACTTTAGTACTTGTTTCTGCTTGCATGTTATACAACACTAGTATTCATTATTCACATACATTTCTTACAATAATTTACTTGGAAGCAGTATCGGAAGAAGGTATCGATACCGGAAAAATATAGGATTTAAAGTATCGATACCTACTCGTTCGGTATCGGTTTTTGTTAATGACCGATATAGGCTTCGTTACGGATTTAACATTAGGATATTGCACAAGATGTTGTGTTTTAGATTTGTGTCCACAAAAGTTTGTTAAACAAAACTAACAGTTTTTTTGTGAGTGGTATTTCCTGTAGTACCATAGCATTGGAACTGGAAATGGGAATCTTCCTTTTTTCCAAGTTTTTGTTACTTTGTATTTGAAGTTTTTGTTACAGATGCACTGCTAAGTACAAATACGTATTTTGGTTCATACCTCTGAATTTTAATAAACGTACGGTTAAAACACATGGTGTAAACATCAACCAATGCTTTATTATTTGCAAATTTTAACCTATGTATGCTGCTTATCTGTTAGCAATCCACAAATGAAGGGGTTAGAATCATAAGGATCTAAGTGACATTTTTGACAATATATGTTATACTCATATTTGTATAGTTAAATATAGTATTTATTTAGTGACAAAGTGATCCAAGTCATTTCGGATATTGTATGTAGTGCCATATATTGGCCAGGGAAGAATCATTTCAAATGCATTTACCCAGAATTTACAATAAGTAATCAACTTTAACCTTAATTATCTCAAAACAATGTCAGACCTACTTGGATCCTTTTGATTATAACCCCTTCAAATATAACAAACATTATTTTGTTTATCGCACATTTTTCTCTTAAATATGTACATATGTATATCGAAAAAATTTCCCAACTAAGAACACATTCTACACTTTCCAATAATTTAGAGAATAATTGTGAAATAAAAACGTCAGAAACGGCAATTGTAAAAGCTTTCAAAGTTGATTTCTGAAGTCAAAGTTAATCGTATATATAAGTGGAGTATCACATTCAAATAACAATTAACCCTCAATTAGACGCATGGGGTCAAGGTCATTTCAAGTTGCAAACAGAATTTCATGGGGCGCTTGGACCGCGCTCGCCCTTTTTCCAGCTTCCTAGCTCCCGCCAGGTACGAAAATTATGGCCAGAACATCGGCGTGTACACTTGTGTCGCTACTCACTTAAGTCCTGACCCCATGCGACCACTTACATAACATTTTTTGGCGGAGGTAAGTTTTTATTTTTGTATGTAAGTTCGAAGCCAAAGTTAAGCTTTTCTTTCTTAAAGTTAACTATAATAAAGAGTGACAATACACATTTCATTTTATTTATTTAGTCACGGCTAGAACATTGTCGCGTACCCACGCTACCACTAACATAGCATTAAGCACGTAAGCGGAGGTAAGTTTATATATATATTTTTTTTTAAGTCGAAATTATGTTTCGGTTTTTTTTTTTTAAGTTAACGATAGTAGATTACTTTAATATTTTTGATAATACACACTTCGTTTTGTTTATTTGTAAAACTTTTTATTTCAACACTTGTATTGGGGTCACTCGTGACCCCATGCGACTAATTGTGTGATTTTCTCGATGCGCCTATTTAAGGGTTAAATGTAGTTTTATAATTTGTGAGCAGTTATTTATGGTTTGTTATCGAAAAACATTTCAAATTGAGATTGAATCGACACAAAATGGTAAAAATGTATATTTTTTTTTTAATATTTAAGGTAAGTACGCCGTCATGTTAAATCGACATGCAGTAAACTATAAACCGTTATAAGCGTCTTTTTATTTGCTTCGCAATGATAATTCACAATTGGTTTAGAAATGTTGAAATTATAAGCAAAAAGAAGAACAGTTTTCTGCCCATAGGTGAAGATTTTGAGGGTATATTTGAAATTTCATGTATGCAGTTTTTCACTACTCAACTAAGCCTACAAGATGTGCTATGTCTCGTATTGAGTTTTTTTTCACTGTCATACAATGTAGTTTATGATTATGTATTAAACCAATTAATATGTACTGTCTTGCGACGTCTACTAAAGCTTCCTCTTCCTATTCGGTTTCAGATTTGTGATGAGAGAAAGAGCCCACGAGTTTCTTTCCACAACCCCCATCATAACGAGATTCTGCAACATCTCGCTCATTTGCGCCCATGCCCCAGCGGAAGAGAATGATGAGG